CGAGGGGCGTTTCTGCCTCAGCAGCAGCGGCGGCTGCTCCGGGGAGGGCGCCGAGGCCACCGTGAGTTCCGTGGGCAGCGGGTCCTGCCTCGGGGTGTCCGTGTCCGCGGGGGCTGCAGCCCAGAAACCCGTGTTCAGGGCTGTGTCTAAAGAGGCAGAGCCAGCAGGGGCAGGGAAGGGCCTTCTGCCCCTCTGCTCTGCACTGCTGAGACCCCACCTGGAGAGCTGGGCACAGCTCTGAGCCCGCAGCTCAGGGAGGACATGGATCCCTTGGAGAGAGGCCAGAGGGGGTCACGGAGATGCTGGGAGGGCTGGAGCAGCTCTGGGGACAGGCTGGGAGAGTTGGGGTGTTCAGCCTGGAGAAGAGAAGGCTCCAGGGAGACCTTAGAGCAGCTTCCAGTGCCTGAAGGGACTCCAGGAAAGCTGGGGAGGGGCTTTCCACCTGGAAAGGGCAATGATAGGACAAGGGGTCATGGTTTTAAACTGAGAGGGGAGATTTAGGTTAGATATTAGGCAGAAATTCTTCACCATGAGGATAGTGGGGTTGCCCAGGGAGGCTGTGGCTGCCCCATCCCTGGAGGTGTTGAAGGGCAGGTTGGATGGGGCTTGTGCAGCCTGGGCTGGTGGGAGGTGTCCCTGCTCATAGCAGGGAGGTTGGAACTGGGTGATCTTTAAGGTCCCTTCCAATCTTAACCATTCTATGATTCTATGAGATCAGAGCTCCAAGGATCCATTTGCTCCTGCTGTGCTGGCCTTACACTGGTGTCACCAACTGGGGCATTAGTGTCTTCCTGCTGGTCCCTTTGGTGGGCCTTCTGCTTAGAGAGTATCTGAGCAGAAATCCTGCCTGGCCAGAGCACTTGGATTTTGTTTGTGTAACAGCATCGAGGAGCACAATGTTCTTGCAGAAACCCTGTGAGGGACCCCACACTTGAGGTGTTTCCAAACCAGGGATTCAGCCCTGCAGGTTCCCAGCCCAGTATGTGAGCATCCAAAGGGTGAGCCCATCCCACCCCTGGGAGAGCAGGGCCGGGGACAGGGGCAGGGCTGGGGACAGGGGCAGGGCTGGGGATGTGGTTCTCTGCCCACACAGTCTGAGCCTGTCACTCTCAGGGGTGTGGGCACTTGCTCAGAGAGTCACCAATGGTGAAAATCCCTTTGGGGTTTGAACTTCTCCAGGGCTGTGAGCGTGAGCAGGGGACAAAGGCAGGAGCTGTACCCTGAGAACTGTCGAGGGGCTTGTTATCCAGAACCACCCCCCTGTCCTGGTAGAACAGCTCCGTGTTGGCAGGGGCCAGTGACCTGCCCTGAGCTCCTGCTGCTGCCCTTGCCTTGCAGCTGTGGGACCTGCGGCAGAGCAGGAGGCCCCTGTGTGAGTACCAGGGGCACCTCCAGACCACCAGCTCCTGCGTGTTCCTGCCGGGGGGCCCAGCCCTCCCCCCCAGCGTCGCCACCTCCTCCCACGACAGCACCGTGAAGGTCTGGGACAGAGACACTGGAGGTAGGGGAGGGTCCGGGAGCCTTACCCTGGGGGGAACAAAACCACCTCCTTGATTCTGTCTCCCAGTAGCCTGATGGAGCCTGAATCCTCTGGATTTTACTCAACTTCAGCCACAGGGCAGGGTGGAGATGTGGCCCAGGGGCTGCTGCTTGCCCTCCAGCAAAGGAGGGTGTTTGGTGTGAGGGGTGTCCTTCCCAAACTAACAGTGATGACAAGCTGGTTTTTAAAGGTACATCCAAGTTCAGCGATGGAAGGACAATGATAGAAGTCCAAAAGAACAGGGCAACCCCAGGGCCTTCCACAGCAGAAAGAAATTGTGCTGGAGGGTGGGTGGCTGGTCAGCAGCTCCCCTCACTTTGGTCATCCTCTTGAAGGGGAATCACGGGTGTTTTGAGGTTTACCCTCGTTGTTGGGGTGAGGGTGAGTCCTCCCCGAGCTGGACACAGGCTGTTCACCTGCCAGCCCTGCTGAGCAACATCTTGAACAGGAGGCAGAGACCTCTTGAAAGCTGCTCAGGTTCACAGATGGCCCCCAAATGCAGAAGTCATCAGCATCAGACACTCTCTGTAGCTCAGCACCTCTCCAAATGCACTTATTTAACTGCAGATGAAAACAGCAACTGCTGATCTCCCACAGAAAATTCTCACCACCTGTTTCACTCCCCTCTCCCTTCACCCTGTGCCCGTGCACTGAGGTGGCCATGAGGTTGGCAGCAAGTTTTGTTCTGATCCTGTTGCCATCACAGCTGGGTGACCTTCACAGCCCTCAGCCTTAATTTGGGTGCTCTTGGGAGTGTCAGTCACCAGGAGTTGCCTCTATGTCCGTGTCAACCCAGCTCTCAGCAGCTCAGCAGGGGGTCAGTGCCTCTGCACAAATCCTGCTCAGGGCTTTTTAGTAGCAAGACACACACAGGAAGGCTGGTGTGGTGCTGGATACTCTTAAATTTTCTTATCTTTCCATTTTGGAGGCTTATCAAAACTGCATGTGAGTGCAGCACAGCCCTTGGGAATAATTTGGGAGGAAAAAAGGCCCTGCAGCTCTGCCCAGGGGGTCTGTCTGTCCATCCCTGCTTCCTCTCCAGGGAAGGGCAGCCCCTGCCCTCAGCTGGCAACTGGGCAAAGCATAAATCCCCTGGGAATTACAGGGGTGGGAAGGCTCTCTTCCTCTGGATGTGGAGCTGCAGGACTGGGAGGGGCAGCAAGCAGAGGGACACGTGCAGAGCCCAGGGGTGGGAGGTCGGTGTGGTCATGTCTCCCCGCAGCAAACCAGGTGTCCCGAGTGACTTCCCTGTCCCCTCCTCAGCCTGCCTGGCCACCCTGTGCCTGGAGGGAGCAGGACCACTGGCCTCACTGGCTGCCTGTGCCAGCTCCATGCTGCTCTGTGCCAGCTCCAACTCAGGAATTCACCTCCTCCAGCTCAGCGAGGAGCGGGCGCTGCAGGAGGTGGCAGCGTTTTGAGCATCGGAACCTCTGGGCAGACACAGCCCCACGTGGGGACCCAACTCCCTGAGAGCTCCCCCCTCCAACTGCAGCAGCAGGAGGGATGGTGCCTGATGTGTGCTCAGGTTGCCCAGAGAAGCTGTGGCTGCCCCATCCCTGGCAGTGTTGAAGGGCAGGTTGGATGGGGCTTGGAGCAGCCTGGGCTGGTGGGAGGTGTCCCTGCCCATGCAGGGGTTGGAAGAAGAAAATATTTAAGGTCCTTCCAACCCAAACCATCTGTCACTCTGTGCTGAGCTGTGAGGCAGCACTGAGGGGCACCAGGGCAGGGAACACTGGGGCTCCTGCCCTCACTCATGTGGAGCTGAGCACTGGGATTAACCCAGGAACATGAGTGTAAACGCAGAACATTCACTGGTGTCCAAAATTCAGAACCCAGCTGAGCCCCACAGGGGTCTGGGCTTGTACAAGAGGAGACTGAAATAAAGATTTTTCTGTGCTGGTTGCTGGCCTCCTGTCTTTCCCCTGGGAATAAGCAGGAGCTGGCAGGCACCCCATGGCAGATGCCACCATCACCACCTGGAAGGAGAAAGCCCACAACACCCTGCTAGAAGAAAAATAACTTGTGAGTGGCTTTGGGTTTTTCTTACAACACCCTTTCCAGCTGTACTGCCAGTGCTGAGCTGAGCTGTGCTCACTCCCCAGGACAAGGACACCAGCTGCTCCCCAGCTGACACGGGAGGTAGATGGCTCTTTTCTCCTGAAGGTTTTCATGACAGCAAACAAACCAGAATGTGCTGGGCAGTTACCTGTCATTTCTCCATTCCTCAGTCAGACCCAGAGGCCAGGATGCAGGTCCAAAACAGGCTTTGATTTTCCAGAACACAACAATTGCAAAACCTCAGTTTAAACAATATAGAACACATGAGAAAGCTCCTCACAGTGTTAGAATAAGACAACCCTACCATGAAAGAGCTGCCTTCATATCATCCCAGGTGAGACAGCCAAAACCCTAACCAGGAGATGCCAACCTGGACTTCAAACACCCAGTTCATGAGATGGCTCCCCATCCCTGGCAGTGTTGAAGGGCAGGTTGGATGGGGCTTGGAGCAGCCTGGGCTGGTGGGAGGTGTCCCTGCCCATGCAGGGGTTGGAAGAAGAAAATATTTAAGGTCCTTCCAACCCAAACCATCTGTCACTCTGTGCTGAGCTGTGAGGCAGCACTGAGGGGCACCAGGGCAGGGAACACTGGGGCTCCTGCCCTCACTCATGTGGAGCTGAGCACTGGGATTAACCCAGGAACATGAGTGTAAACGCAGAACATTCACTGGTGTCCAAAATTCAGAACCCAGCTGAGCCCCACAGGGGTCTGGGCTTGTACAAGAGGAGACTGAAATAAAGATTTTTCTGTGCTGGTTGCTGGCCTCCTGTCTTTCCCCTGGGAATAAGCAGGAGCTGGCAGGCACCCCATGGCAGATGCCACCATCACCACCTGGAAGGAGAAAGCCCACAACACCCTGCTAGAAGAAAAATAACTTGTGAGTGGCTTTGGGTTTTTCTTACAACACCCTCTCCAGCTGCACTGCCAGTGCTGAGCTGAGCTGTGCTCACTCCCCAGGACAAGGACACCAGCTGCTCCCCAGCTGACACAGGGGAGGTAGATGGCTCTTTTCTCCTGAAGGTTTTCATGACAGCAAACAAACCAGAATGTGCTGGGCAGTTACCTGTCATTTCTCCATTCCTCAGTCAGACCCAGAGGCCAGGATGCAGGTCCAAAACAGGCTTTGATTTTCCAGAACACAACAATTGCAAAACCTCAGTTTAAACAATATAGAACACATGAGAAAGCTCCTCACAGTGTTAGAATAAGACAACCCTACCATGAAAGAGCTGCCTTCATATCATCCCAGGTGAGACAGCCAAAACCCTAACCAGGAGATGCCAACCTGGACTTCAAACACCCAGTTCATGAGATGGCTCAAGGAGCTGGGACAGGAGAGGTCTGGTACATGGAAAAGATCAACATTCCTGGCCTTTACCACCTACTGTGAGGGAACACGAGGGGGTGCAGACCCCTACAGCCACCTCTGCAGGTGCAGGGGAGGCAGGTGCTGTGTTCCTCTATCCCTGACAGCTTTCCCTTCTTTAGCTGAAGTTTGAAGCCAGACTCCTCCCAAAGGCTCCTGGAAAACAGCAGGCAAGAAGGGTGTTAACACAGCCTGCACAACACGCTGTACCCCAGGGGCTGTGTGGCTACCTACAGATATTTACAACAGATTGAGGAAAAACTGTCAGCTTAATGTGGGAGGGAGGGTGGAAGCAGGTGGATCATCTCCACCTGACCACAGAGAGCAGTACAAAAACTGCAGCTGCACAGCCATGGTATAAAAGTCCTAAAAAAGGAAATAAAAATCACCCAAGATTTGACTCCAACCAAGCCCTGGCAAACACAAGTGCTACCAAACCACCTCAACCTGCCAGTGATGCCAGCTGCTGAAATGCCCCTTCCAACAGCCCATTCCTTTTTGTTCTTTAATATAAAAAAAAAAAAAAGCAAGTCTGAGTTGAAAGCCACAGACCCTTCCAGTTCCGCAGCAGCACCTCCCAGCTACTCTGCTGTCCACAGCTTGAAGGTTCTGTCGTAGGAGCAGGTTGCTATCAGCTGGCCATCAAGGGAGATGTCCAGTCCCATCACCTTCCCCTCATGACCAGCCAGGGTTTTCAGGGGGGACCAGCCAGGGTGAGTCCAAATCTTGGCCGTGTTGTCGTAGGCGCCCGTGAGCAGGAAGTTCCCGTGATTGGCTGTGGAGGATGAGAAAGGGGGAAAAAGTGAGATGTGAGAATAAAAACATGACAAGTGTTCTCTGCTTCTTGACCTCCACGTGTGGTTTTTGAGCTGCCCCATCCCCTGCCAGCTCAGCAGGGACAAGGCAGGTGGGACAGGAGGGACTCACGCTCGAATTTCACGCCGGTCACCAGGTTCTGGTGGGCAGGGATGGTGTAGATGCACTTCCTCTGGCGGAGGTCCCACACCTTGCACGTGTTGTCACCACTGCCAGTTGCAACGTGGTACCTGCCCAAGGGTGGAGGAAGAACACACTGTTGGGAGCTGGGGTTTGTACCCAGAGGTTCTACACAAAGCGGGCGAGTTCTTTCCTCACCCATTTGGGGAGAAGTTGATCCCGTAGATCTCCTTCAGGTGGCCCTCCAGGAACATGATGCAGCGCCCCGTGCGCAAGTCCCACACCCGGCCAAAAGCATCCAGACCTCTGGGAAGAGAGAATCTGAGTGTCACCCTCTGGAGTCCCCAGCAACTGCTGGGCTACCCTGGGCCTCACCAGCAGCCATCAGTGGGGCACTGGGCATCAGTCAGCAACAAACCCCTGATATTTCACGTCCAATCCTGAGGCAAAGCAAACTCACCCCGTCCCGGCCAGAGACCCGTCGGTGTGAAAGGCAATGTCATAGACCCCTTTGCTGTGCCCCTCCTGGTGCAGAATCTCTTCCTGAGCTTCCAGGTCCCACAGGCGCCACGAGTGATCGTAGCTGTGAAAACAAAAGCATCTGTCCAGCTCCCTGTGTCTCCAGGGGGAGTAACTGGGTGTTTCTCTGACTCTGGAGGCATTTTATTATAGCTGGAGACAAACAGGGTCTCACAAGAGGGGCAGAGAAAGGAATCCCAGTGACTTGCTGTTATTTACATGGCAACAACCCAGCCCTTGCCAGGAACAGCCAACCCTTGCCCATGCTCTGCTGTGGGTAAGCACTGGTACCCTCTGGGCTACCAGCCAGCTGGCTGATGGCCATGCATGTCTGAAAGCAAAACACCAGTCTCCATACCAGGTCGTGCCCAGGAACCTCCCAGATGGGTGCCACATCACACGTGACACTCTCATGCTGTGTCCTTCAATATCTGCCACTGGTTCATCACTGAAAAACAGAAAGGACAATCATCAGAGTGGTTGGCTCTAGCCAGGCTTTGCCAAAACTGATCACAGCAAGAGCTGCTAATTAAACACCAGCCAGACAGGATGATCATAGTTATAACTAATGACTCTGAATTCTACCTCTTGTTCACACAGCTAAAGCTGCAAGTGGAACCTCTTTATTCACTCTCATGTTGGTTATAAAGCTCTCCTGGGATAAATATTTCCTGAAAGTTAATGAGGGCCTTGTTAACAGCACATTGAAAGTAGTAACAGAGTAGTAACAGAGCCTGGGACAGGCTGCCCAGGGAGGCTGTGGAGTCTCCTTCTCTGCAGACATTCCAAACCCATCTGGATGTGTTCCTGTGGGATCTACTGTAGGTGGCCCTGCTCTAGCAGAGGGGCTGGACTAGATGATCGTCACAGGTCTCTTCCAACCCTAACCACTCTGTGACTCTGTAACAGCAGAAAGGAAGCACAGACCCCTGGGCAGCAGGAAGCTTTTCTGTGACCACACTGAAGACACCCCCACCCACAGCAAACCCTGCTGTGCTGAGGAACTGCAGGGCAGTCAAGACAGAGTGGGTATTTATTCTCCCAAAATTACAGGCAGCAGGTCTGTAGCCTTCAGCAAAGGACATGGACAGCATTTAGAATTTCATTCTAACAGGGCAGCCAAAGAGATGTGGTCACTCCAACAAACAGCCCATCCCTCAGCACCCCAGGTTGCTGCCATTAGCAACAGGGGCTTGGACAGCCCAGGGGCTCAGAGCTGCTGCATCTCCTCAGGTGCCCTGCAGGACCCCACTTCTCCAACTCAGCTGATGCTTGGGCTGGGATTTCACACCATTCTCCTCTTCACAGGTTGAGAAAGATGCTGCCCACCTCCCAAAACAACACTGTGCAACAACAGAGCCCCTTGTTTTCGTGACAGGCTGAATTTCGAGTGTGGTCCTGTACTTGGTTAGTTCCTCTCTGAACTCTGGTGCTTCCCAGTAACTTTAAAGTTGATTTGTTAATAGCCAAGAGGGGAAATTTTATCCTAAATGAAAAGTTAGAATGAAACAATCTCCAGATCTTCCATCCATGACCCACAGCAGTTTACCAATGCCCAGCAGCAATTCTGACTTGATTCTGTTCAGACAATTTCCCCTCACCTCGATTCCCCTCATCAGAGTGATCTCTTTTCCTTCTGAAGAAGGTGGCACATACTGAGGCCAGGAATTGCACTTCTAAAGCTACAAGAAAAGCTTATATTTGCAGGAGGATGGTAATTCTCCAATGTCTAGTAACACAAAATAAACCCAAAAGCACATGGCTGCAGCTGTGCATGGCTGGTCTCGTTCTGACCTTTCCAGGCTCCAGAGTTTGACGGATCCATCAGCAGCACACGAGGCCAGGTTGACATCCTTCTTCTCTATGGAGACAGTGGCTTTGGGATGGAACACTATTGCTCCTACGTTGGTGCTATGTCCTTAAGAGAAAGGAAAATCAACATTCATAACCTGCCATGTCATCCTGGCCAATTCTTCAGAAAAGCAGCATTTCTCTGTTACTAATTAGCCAGGGACCAGAGAACACTTTCAGTGTCCTCCCACACTGGGTGAAGCTGCAGTAACTGCTGCAGTAACTACCAGACATATCCATCCTGTTCTTCCAGCAGCACTCACTTCAGAGCATCAAATACCAAGGTTTGGAACCCTCTAAATGCAGGGGAAATTCAACATATGAATCAAGAGATTTGTCCTGATGTTTGTATTTAGTCAAAGTTGTGACCCAGCACACTTCAACAAACCTCATTGCTAAGTGAGTTGGCTAAAAAAGCTGGTATTTGGTTCACAGTAACTCCAACCAGGATTCAAAACACAGAACTATTCAGAAACAGAAAGAGCCAGCTTGGGTGTTAGCTCTAAGAGAAAGGCCAAGACTTCCTCTTGATGATGAGACACATGCCCATGCTCTGCAAGCCTGAGAAGTGCTCCCAGCAGAATAAAACCTGCCCCAAGAACATGACATTTGAGTCACAAAGTAATTAAAATACGGGAACTCAACCCAGAGAGGAACAAAAGAACTTAGGCAGTCTCAGTGAAAGTGGCTCTACCTCGTAAGGTGTGAACAAGGTTGCAGTCAGGCACAGACCAGAGCTTGCACAGGCCACTCCTGGTGAAGACAAGATAGAGACAGGATCATGAAGGAACAGGTCAAACACAGAGCTCCAAAATGAGCCCAGGAGGTCTCCAGTGGCTCAAAGACCAACACACATTGGGCAACCAGCCACAGGGACTAGGGGGCTCAGACTGAAGTCTCTGCTAAGCTCTAAAACAGGGTGAGGAGAGAGTTCAGAGTAGGAAGAAAAAGCATTTCTGAACTCTCATGACTCACAGGCCTCTGCTAACATCCCTCTCCATCACTCCTGCCCTGCTCTCCCAGCCCCCAGTGCTATAAAACACAACTTACCAACAGGCTGTGGCAAGGAGTTTGGAATTGGGGCTGAAGTGGCAGTAGGACAGTGGGCGATCGTCTCCGATCTGGCTGCAGAAGTTATTCAAGGACTGTAACCAAGTACAAATTAAAAATAATTCAGAAAGTACAAACAACCCAGGAAAAGCCCTGGCCAAAGACTGAGCTGAAGGAGTTAAATGAACACAGGAGGCAGCAGAGGCCTTTGGAAAGTCACTTTCAAAGTGAGGAGCTGCCTTGGAAACACTCCAGCTGCCAGCAGGAGGGCCATGGAGCCAGGCTGGCCATGGGAGCCAGCACAGTGTAGGGGCACAGCTCAGCCACCCACTGCCCACAGGCCTGCTCTGGGACCATGGCTCTGCCAGAACTCACTGTAGCTTTGATCTCTTTCTACAGCTCAGCCAGGGATGCAAGCAGAGAGAGCAGGGCAGGCAGCAGGCTGTGCTGGGGGAGAGGCAGGTAATGCCTCTGAGTGTAACCAGGACAGGAGCAGCAGCACAGTGTGTGCTTGTGTCTCACTCCTGGGCTGAGCTGGGAATCTGCCTTAAGGTGCTGGAAAAGGGTGTCTCAGAGTCACCCATAACATGAGCTGTACTACTGTGTTGGTAGTTATTTCCCTTGGTTTTATACACTCGTGACCATTGCAGAGGAAGAGGAAAGGAGGCAGCCCCTTCCTAGCCAGCTACACCTGTGACAGAGCCAGGAATAAATTCCTTCAGCTTTACAGGCCAGTGAGAAGGCAAAGCAGGGATGTGTTCTCAGCTCTCTGCTGTGCAAGGGAACAGTGGAAGTACATCTCTGAACCACAGAACCCAGGGAAAGACAGAAAGCAGAGCTTTTCAGCAGATGACAGCACAGAAAACAACAGGTATCTGGAGAGCACCTCTGGGCAGCTGATCCCTTCCTGACCTCCTTGGAGGATCAGCAAACAAGTTGTGAGAACAGCAGCTGAGCAGCTACCCAACCTACTCGCAGGGATTTGTGCAGCTCCTGTTTCTGTGATGTCCTGGTTGCCTCTGGGATCTCTTTGAGCAGACGAGCTTCCTCCAGCCGCTTCACTGCCCTGTGGAGAGCAAAGGTGGAGTCACAAGCCCCTACATCCCTGCCTTGCTGCTGCCCCCCCTGCTTCCCCCAGCCTGGGCTAAAACTACAGCCACTCACTGAGAACTCGAGCTCTCAGCTCAGTGGGCTTGTCTACCAGTGTGTGGTCCCCACTCCTGTGATCTCGTGTCCCGCTCCACCCGCTGCAGGATGAGCTGCTGGATTTTACAGAAGGTCCCATCTCCCTCCTCCATTGGTCCCATCTCTCTCCTCCCTCCCTCACCTGGGGAGTGAGTAGTTGGCCAGCCACAGCCTTGCTGTCTTCAGACTGCGTGGTCCTTCGTGGTACCAGGTTTGCTGATACTGTAAGGAACAGAACAAACCTGAAGAAAAAGCTACTGTGACCCTGCTCTTCCATCCCACTACCTTAGATAATCTCCTCTTAGTATAGAAGAACCACCACAGCATCTGCTCTTACACCTTGCTGTGTTAGAGCCTCTTTCCAAGGGCCTCTTGCATAACTATAAGGCTCAGAAAATCTTTGTCCTACAGCTCAGATGCTGATGTGCTGCCACGTCAGAAACATTCCCATTGAACACCAACCCATTTTACTTCAGGATGTACAGCTCCTGCCCTGCACATCACCCAGTAAAATGAAAGCCCAGAGCTACAAAAACTGTCCTCACAGCAGGCCTCTAAAATAATATGGAAAAGATGGCCTCTGGAAAGAGAAAAGAGAAGCAGAAAACAAGAAGAATCAAAGGCAGAAACAGATGCAGGAGCAGAAACATGTATTTTTCTTCCTGCGTATGAAGACAAACAACAACAAAGGACTCTACACCAAGTGACAGTCTGAACTCTCCTCCTTCACACACTGTGTGCAGCACAGAATGTGCCCTGTGGGACAGAGCACCCACTGCCACA